TCTCTCTCTCTCTCTCTCTCTCTCTCTCTCTCTCTCTCTCTCTCTCTCTCTCTCTCTCTCTCTCTCTCTCTTTCAGAACGATTCATCGACTTCCCGATGTCGATGTATAGATACGTAAAACCGTCACACTGATTCATTCGCCGAGCGTAATTATTGTCAACTACGATCAAGTCCTGAGTCCGGCCAAACACTGCGAGATCACCGTTTTATTAATGTTGGGAAACGATAGTCATAGGATACCCAGTATTTCATTACTCTAAATACATACAATATAATGACAATATAATGATATATATATATATATATAATATATGTATGTATAATATACATTTTATTATAGCGGTAACACTATATATTGCCTAATATATAGCTATAACTCCACGCACGATCAGTTTTATAGACGTCCAAAATGCCCCCTCTTGCGCCCCTACAATGTTTCACATGTCATCACGGGAAACGTTTATGTGATGATGGTAATGCGTCGTCATTGTACACTGATGATAATAATAAGCAAACGCGATAGAGTTAAAATGATAGTCCATGGATGAATTATAAGTGATTTTTTGTGGAATGACCCTAATGCAATGCATGTTCGCAAACAAATTCCGATCTAAAAAATTAAAAAGAAAAGAGAAATTCTTAGACTCCTATTTTTGAAAAGAAACATATACGAAAAACTAAGGAAATAGTATAATATATTACGTATATTATAATACTTCCCTAATTCTTCGTATATATACGTTTCTCTTTAAGAATAGAATTCTAAAATCATGATATAATACTCCACAAATAAAAAAAAGATAAAAAAAAAATGTTATTCGAAGAATAGTTTCGAGTGCTATACAAAAAGGAAAGGATGTTCGATTGAATTCATCTTCCGATTCATCAGCTAGTGAATCCTCGCAGATTACGTCTATTTGCATAAAGTAACGCAAATCGGAGAAAGCGAGACACTTGCATAATACGGAGAGAAACTCAGTGGATTCACGGTAATGATCGAGACCGTGTACGGGGTATCAACGAGAACGAGTGTCGAATCAAATGTTTAAAACGTTTTGCAGCGTTTGGTTGCACGGAACGAGAGTTGTAAGGAACGAGTGTAACTGCGCGATAGAACACGTTCGACTCTGCATTTTCTTCCTTCGGAATAAATCAGTGCGATAGGTAGAAACGAAAAACGGACAATCATACTCTATGTATACGAATATAGAAGATATTACTGTGCCGTGAATTGACTGTTAGTGACGTGGTATTTAAGCTACGACCGGTTCGGGGCTACACGGTTGAAGCTCCGGCTCGTTCTGCGGCTCCGCGCTGTTAGTAGTGGTGGTGGTGCTCGAGGTCGCAGTTGACGTGTTCGGCTCGTGGTTCGGATCGGCGGGAGTCATCGCAGCCCACTGTGTGGTATACGGTGCCGCTCGCGCCTGTCGCCTGGCTTTTCTCTTAGCACGACGTTGTTCCATGACTAAGCGCAGCCGACGCATCTTGCCCTTCGTTGCCTCGTTCTCCTTTGATAATTCTTCTACATTCCAAACATCATACGGCGCATTAGTATTAATAGAAATTAATGGTATTAAGATAAAATAATATTTCTAGACATTTTTTAAATAAAAATAATTAAACATAATACAATTTAATTCTATATTTAGTATGTCTTGAATATTAAATATATTATATAAAATATTTTTCTTTGTTTTATTATTTAAAAGTATTATTCTATATAAATATAAATTCATAAATGCACACCACTGGAGTAGCCTGGTGTGGAATCGTGACAGCCGACCGACGAAGTAGATCCATTCGCGGTAGTTGTAGTGCCCGCGGAAGACGCGGACATCAAGGAAGATTGCTGGCGAGTATGCGAATGCCTGTGATGATGATGCCTATAGTGGCCTGCGGATGCGGCCGGTGTCGCGCAGAGCAAGTCATTCAGGATGTGAATGATGGTGCTAATGTCCCGCTTCGGCCGACCGTGTCTATCCTGGAGGGCTGGGTTCAGAGTGCCGCTAAACGTGCCGGAATACACGCCTTTGCCATGATGATGCATACTCTCTATTATTGCGCCTTGCCTGCGTCTCGCGTTCTCCTAAATTTAAAGAGATACGTAAGATTCTGCACGTTCTATCTATTGATACGTCCTTAGTTGCCTTCGTATTTATGCACGATGACATACAAAACACATTTCTAATAAGATGTTTCGGAAAAAAAAAAAAATTTAGATATCGCTTTAGAAATATGTTATTTTCGTATTTAAAAGCACAAATAAGTTGTCAAATTGGTGTGTTTTGACATATCCTATCTTCTCCTTTCCCTTCTTTATTATCTTCCAAATTTCTTATCTTTTAAGTTTAAAAGTTTCGAAATGTTTTAAATATTGAATATAAAAAATTCGTAAGCGTACGTTATGTTATTATTTAAGAAAATCGGAACGTTATGAAAAAATTGAATTCAATCTTATGAGGCTCTGTTTAAGCTTATGAGCATGAAATGTAATTTTAAATAATCGTATTAAGTTTATCTATATAAAATTATATAGTTCCAAAATATAAATTTTACACACGTAATGCTAAACTTAAAACCATATTTCAAAAGTACAATATAAAATCGGTATTAATGCGTAATATTAATTAAAAATACACACATCATTTCATCATCGTCACAACAGAACATTAGAATTTGAGTGTTATTAGCATAAAATATAGTTAAATACAATATAAATATGATAATTTTAAGGACCTGAGAGTATTTTCTGAGCAAGTGTTCATATTTTTAAAATTTTATCCATTTTTACACAGTTGAGAAATAAATTTAGTATCATCGAAGAATTCCATCCAATAAATAAGCAGTACGAAAAGAGACCAAATCAGGCCAAACAATTCAATTCGCGACCAATCACGGCGCACCTCTTAGGACCTTGATCGACGTGCAATCACGAATATAAATCACGAATAATGATACACAGGGGGAACTGGCTTCGGTAACAATGTATACCTCTGCGAGGTCGACCCGCGAGGTGAGTACCTCAGAGGAGAGCTGCTTCAGCTTTTGAGTAAGATTCCGAGACGCCTCGGCGAGCGCTCGAGTGTCGAGGGTGGCGGGCTTGGGTGGCGATTGCTCCAGCATCAGCGATGAGGCGCATGTTGGGCTCTGTGGATTAGATTCCTCGTGTTGACTTCTCGTGGCGTCCATGCCACTAGTGGTAACGGAAGATGATGGCTGGCCATGATGATGGTGGCCGCTGCAGAGCTTCTTCCTGGGTAGCGTCGCGTCGTAGGACATCGGCTCCAAGGCAGACTGCTCCTGAATTGGAGACGAACCCGAACTGAAGGAAGAGGGAGAAGAGGAAGTGGAGAGGTTGGGCAAGCTAGATTTGTTCCTCGAATGATGATGATGATGGTGATGATGATGGTGGTGATGATGGCCATGGTGATGACCGTGGTGATGGCCGTGATGATGATGGTGGTGATAAAGCGGACAGGGCTGGCACGCGCTGGAAGAACTGCCATTCGTAGGTGGAACGCTATGCGAATTGCCACGCGTAGATTGCGATTGACCCGAATTGCTGCTGGACGACGACGATGAATGCGCCGGGCTAATTGGTGCCGCCGAGACGGACGAAGAGGATGTTGTAACCCGGCTGGAACATACCGGGCTGGTGGTCGTAGTGGTAATGTTGGCGGTAGGTAGGCTGCTGCTGTTGCTGTAGCTGGCGGCTGCGTGTAGAGCGCTGGCAAGGCTACTAATTAGATGCGACGTTCTGCCAGCCGGTGCTCCGGCGGCGTTCTGCGGCTTAACAATATTTCCCGGTGATCTGGCCGTCAGGCATCTTCTGGTTTGCAACGACGAATGACCGCCAGACGGATTGGACATGCTCGTGGTATTGCTACTATTGGGCAAACTAGCAACGTTGTTGTTGCTGCTGTTGTTGCTGCTGCTGCTGCTGCTGCTGCTATGATGACTATGGCCGTTACTGTTGGCAGAGCTCGCCTGACTGGCGGTCGGCGATGTCGGGGTTACGGTAGACAACTGCAGCTGGATTAACATCATGTGATCGCCTAGTCGCATCGTAAGATTAAGTGGTGCCTTGCCGGACAAGAAGTCATTCACCTGTGAATCATTGAGGCTCTCCAAGGCCTGCATTACGCTCTGCTCCGGTCGTTGCGCCTGAAACAATAGGAGAGGATCGTTATTTCAGAACTGATAATCGGTTCGACTGCGTATTTGATATCGCTATCGAGAGACGTATGATCAATGGGAGAATCGCTTACTTGCGTCTTCAAGATAACAAACGATGCGACGCAATGTAATAGCTTATTACAGCGCATTTTTTTAATAACATAATTATTAATATACTAATTATATGTACGAGTTGGCTAAAATTCCCAACAAAATAACAGTATATTATAAACATTATTATAGCACTGTGTAAAATAATGCCATTGTACAGTAATACTTACAGTATTATAATATTAATTAATCTTTTATGCAACATTTTTACTTAATTTGAACACAATCTAAAAAAGACATGGTATATTATTAAAATTTAAATTAAAATAAATGTATTGTACATATATAAGAATTATTCCAATACTATAAAATACTTATAATATTATAAGATTTATATTTTTTATTATTTTAAGATGAGAAAAAAAAAGTACAATCTCCTTCAAGAAATTCATTGTCAACGGACAATGTTTATTATTTGACTGTGTTAGATCCGTATTTTAATGATAATTGTGACTCGTTCATAAAAACATGAAGAGAAATGTCGATTACAATATCTAGTATTAATAAGAGAATTCTACACCTAGTATTAATAAGAGAATTCTACACCTATGCATTCAATATATAACACAATTTTCCATTTTGCGTTATCACTTGTCGATTATAAAGAAAAACACACCTAATTAAGCAAAAATTGGAATTACGTTATAACGTATAAGCCTTACTCTAATAAAGAGTATTAGATAAACTTAGTCTTCATTTAATTAGTTCTTGCGTAATTCTCATTTATGAAGTTTATTTTTCCAATTTATTCATCCACAATTAGTTTAATAATCTTTAGCTTTACATTAATAATATTTATTCTTAATTCCCTGCACAGCGTTTCAAGAATATTCACGAAATAACGTTTGATCCGGATGCGATTTTCAGAATATGTATTCTTCCTTCTTTTTTTACGATTGAATAATAATAGTATCGGTTTTTTCCAAGTGTTACCGGTGCAAGATAGAAGAGACCGCGATGCGAGATAGAAGGCGCGAGAAGACCTGCAGAAGAGAGGAAACCTCGCGGAATCGAGGCTCAGACCCTCGACGAGCACAGTTAGGCATCCCTCATGCACACCTAACGGACTTCCTTTCGCCGGACGCGGTCATCGTCGGATTCGGTAATTCGATTCACGGATTCGGTCCGAGGAAAGTCCCGGGACTTCGCGGGAATCGCGCACGACTGTGTTGCAAAATCTATCGTTTCTTTTAAGAAACCAATGAAGAAACCTTTCTCTTTGCAACTTCAACAAAAAAGCGATCGATAAATAAAAACATCAGAACAAAGCTTATACACAGATACTAGAGATTTATTAAATAAACATGGAAAGAACGATTGTGCTGAAATATCGAAAAATTTAGCTAAATATAAATCTAAAAATAATTTTGTTGAACCATCAAAATAATTACATAAGAATTTCAAGCATGATAATTAATGTTGCAAAAAATTTTTTGATTCATTCTAGTCACTAGTCTGAGCATTCCACGTAGGATAAGTATGCCATCGATGGACCGGTGCAACGGATGGACTAGTTCAATATTTTTATTATTATACGTGATGTCGTCGCGCCATTTGTGGTAGAGAAATAAACTAGTAAAGAAACAGCCGCCATGTTAATTGCACTCAGATAGGCGCAGCAAAGACGCTGCAATTTCGCAAGATACATTTTTGTGCATTTTGATCTTCTCGATTTTGCAAAGATTACTGAAACTATTAAATAGAAATATATTTTATTAGTCTCAATAGTTCATTAAAGTTGAAAATATACGCTTTAAAATGGGATATTCTACTTTCGGCAATTATTTACACTTAAGCACAGGATTATAGATTATAGTGATAATTGTTACATTTCCAATAAATGGACAACCAATGGTTAAACCATGGCACGTTGTGTGGAACAAATGAGTATGGCAACTATGGCCATAAGAAATGTTTGCCAATCCAGTAACAAAGCATAAGACAGTTCTGTTTGTAATTATTTGTTTTATTATATAATTATTTTATGTTTCATTATAAAAGTTTATATTATATTTTATTATTTTACGTAGACAATTTTATATGATAGAAGCAATTGAAAATAATGTTTATCTTTACTAAATATAGTAGTTCTCTAAATGCTTCTTTTATAATTTTTTCGATTATTTTATATAAAATGTGTATTGTTTAGTTAAAAAATAAATTTTAAGATTTGTATACGTAAATATAAGAATTCTTTCAAAAATGACTTTAATAAACATTATATTTTCAGTAAACTTTTATTATTTGATCTAATATTTTGAAATATAATTGTTTAATATCGATTCTCAGATGGTCCAATAATGGATAACCGGTGGTCTATCCATGGCAATGTAATCCAATAATCATAAAAAGTAAAACAATAATATAAATTCTCATTCTAATCTCACAAGATGAATGCATTGTTTTTCACGGGTAATATCCTGAAAGTGAAAGGTTTTCGAAAGCACTGTACAATTTGTTTTTCGGCGTAAAAATATGTTACGAATTAATTAGCTTAGAGGGTCCATTGATAGTGTACTTATCCTAATTATTTTGATGGTCCACTTAAATTATTTTCAAATATGTACCTGGCTAAATTTTTAGACAGTTCAGCAAAACCGTCCTTTCCGTGAAATTAATTTTTTATTAACGCAAATCAAATGTCAAAGACCACATCTCAAAATATTTTAAATTTTTGATTAAATCTTGGCATTAAATGTAATATTAAAATATATTAAAATCCTATTTAAAATAAATGTTTAATAAAGTTTACTTGAATTTATCTATTTGTGCACATTAAAATAAATTCGTGGGTAGCTAAATAGATATTTTTAATTGACTCGAAAAAGAGCCTCTGGCGTAGGCATGTTTATTTTTTGATAAATTCTTATTTTAAAACATTTTCTTGTTATTTTTCTTCCTTCATTACGAATATTTCTTTGCAATTTCAATACTATGAGTCTCTCTTTAAAAGAGAAATTAAAAATAATCCTAAATTGCTCCAAAGAAAGCAAATTAGAAAGGTACGTGATATCAGAGTATAGATAATGCTAATTAATTTATGGAATTAAATGTCTTTTTTTCGTGTTTTTTTTTTATCATTCCGTTTAACGCAACAATAATAAGGATTTAGGAAGAGTTTTAACAGGGCAAAGCCCGCTTTTTACTAACAATCTATCACGATCAAGTTCGATGGGCAAAAATGCAGCGTAAAAGTGCCACATAGAAGAATGCGACCTTCACGCGTGCCTGCGTATCAAGTTCTTAATAATCTACAGTTTTTAATGCAATCGAGTGCCCGTTCACGCATCTGGACAAGCAGAATGCTATCGCTTCCACAACGAGCTGAACAAAATTATCTCGGGAATCTGCCCCTCTGCGTCAATATCCGTAAGTCGCGATCGGTGGATAGCGGAAGAGAGTCGCGAATGTTAAATTTACTCGCCTTATGTCGTCGTGCGCTATAAATTATTAATCTAGTCGACGCTAAATATAAGAAATCGACCCCGCCGCGCCGCTTGCACATGCGATCGTCGTATCCGATGTTGCAACGGCTGCAAGCGAAAACCGTGTTGCTCGAGCCATCGAACCGATGCGTTTGCTCCACGTGTCGCATTAAACTCTATTCATGGCAAAGGACGAGATACCGATATCAGTTATTCGCAGTGCCAAAGCGAAACAGGAAATATGTGTATCAACTTTTGTCACATGTATATGTATACGATATGTATAAGATGTTTCCAAATCGTCATATATTTAAATGCCTGTACTATTTATCGCGAATTTCCTGTTGTCGAAAAAAAAAAAACACGGGTTATATGTTAGAACTTCTCAACATCATCTTTTAATACAAAAACATAAAAAATTTTTAATTAAATTTACATTATTTTACATTATTTATATTTAATTATAATTTTTAAAATAAATACAACGAAAAAATAAATATAACGAAAATATTTAAACGTATAATATAATTTTACATCACAACTTTCTCGGTAAACATGTCTATGTTCGTTTCCATTAAATTAATTTTAATTTCAGTTCAACTCTCTTTATTTTTTTTCGTTTCTATAATATACTGATAAAAATGTTTGGTTGAATATAGACGAATTAGAGACATAATTCTGATTATATTGGAATTCTGATTACTAGTAGATTCGACCAGAAAATTCTGATTCGTTTATTTTCAATAATTTCATAATTTCAATTAATTCAACTCGACAACATTTTTTTTCTCAATGTAAGAATTAGAAAAAGTATGAGTCCAAACTGAAACCTTACACAAAGTTAATCTGCATTGCTAGAAACGGACATTATTTGAATAAACAATACATTCCAAAGAGCCTGAAAAATAATTTCGCGGAAATTGACAAACTGATCAATCTATCTCCTCGAGCAGCTTTAAGATATCTTTTAAGAAAAAAATTATATTGCGCATATTTATATATTCTTGTACATTCTTTAGGCTGCGCAAGTCGTCTCCGCCTCCATCGCGAAATCGGACGCTCTTTCGATTCGTTCGTGAGTGTGTCCCAAGCCTGATCTCGTCGCTCGGAGAAACGCTCTTGCAAAACGATTAACCAATCGGGCTCACTCCCCGCACCCAATCTCGCCTGAGTCTCCCACAGCGAACTTCCTCGGTACGGCAACGATCAATCGGATGCGGGACTCGTGAATCGCGATGAACCGTTTAAAAATTGCGAAGTAGCTCCGATTTGCTCTGAAAATTTCTCTAGAAAGAATCATTTTGTACGTACAAACTTGACTTTCTCAGTTGTACAATAAATTTTTCCAAGAATTTCTTTAAATGTGTTAAATCTTAACACTTTTTAAGCGATAATAAGAAAATATATTAAGCCTGAGACACAATTGAAAAGCATATAAAAAAGGTAATAGAA